TTTTAAACATTCAGGAGTTTTCTTTTTATCAAATTAATATACAATTAATTATTTATTTTAGAATCATGACCATTTTCGTTTATAAATAGATCCAATTCATCTTGTGGAATCCGTCTATGAGACTTGAATTTTTTGCAGACGTATTCTGCCAATTTACCTGTCAAACCCTCGTGATATAATTGCATATATCTCCACGATTTCTGAGCAAACTTCCTAATTAAAACAATGCTTACCGAATCAAGTGCTTGCGGAACTTTTTCTTGCAAACTAGCCCACGTATAATCACAATGATTTCTTGTGTAGTGTTTAGTCACCCTCCAATACATCTCAATAAAGTTAAGTTCGCAATGGAATTTTGAAAAAAAAACGCATAAATGACCAGCACTTTCTATTAACTTTACAATGACAGATTTTTGTGCAATAAAATCTGGCTGAGAGGTCATGATTTTTCTTGCGCAACAGTTTATCTGCAAGGGATCTTTCACTGATTTTTTATCCTTGCACATTCAACAATCCAAAGTTAACCCTTCTCTCCAAAGATCTCTTTCCATTAATATCCTCCTTATCCCTTTTGATTGTCCTCGCATAGTGAAGTCGAGATGATTTTCATCGAATATCATTTGCTGAATTTTTTGTTGTCCATTAATATCAACAAAAGTCGTCGATCGCATTATCGGTTGTTTTCCTCCAGGTCCCAGATTCATTCTTCCTGCGACAAGAGCATCTTTAGTCGTTTTTTGTTTATATAAACAAAAAACGACTTAGATTAGACTATAATAGTCTCAGGTATGTGTCATGACGACAGAAACATGACACTGTCGTCAGTGTCATGACGACAGAAACACAACACCGTCATCAGTGTCGTGATATATATTTTATGACATATTTTTGACGATAGAAATGCGACACTGTCGTCAGTGTCGTGATATATATTTTATGACACATTTTTGACGATAGAAATGCGACACCGTCGTCAGTGTCGTGATATATATTTTATGACACATTTTTGACGACAGAAATATAACATCATCGTCAGTGTCATCTGATTTTCATTGCTGAACCACATGAGTAAAAAATATGCTGACTATGCATTCAATCGCATGTTATTATTTGTGGGCCCGATGTGAGGGCTATGCCCGAACTGGGCACGTAGTCCCTTAGCTTTCTGGTTAATTCCTCTATGAGAGCCAGGTTTGAGGCACATAGTGCTGAAATAGTATTCGTATTCTGGCTTTGTATGATGCATTCGAATATCGATCGAGGATGAGGCACGTAGTGCTGAATTGTTAACATATCTGGTAATACACCAAAGCATCCAATAATGAGGCACGTAGTGCCAAATTGTTAACATATCTGGTAATACACCAAAGCATCCGATGATGAGGCACGTAGTGCTGAATTGTTAACATATCTAGTATTACATCAAAGCATCCAATAATAAGGCATGTAGTGCCGAATTGCTAACTATTATAATGTACTTGAGTATCGATCAAGGATGAGACACATAGTGCTGAATTGTTATCCCTATTTGATGATACGTAAAAGCATCTGAAAGTTTCAAATATTGATCGATGATGAGGCACGTAATACCAAATTGTTAACATATCGGATAATACACCAAAGTATCTGATAATGAGGCACATAGTGCCAAATCATTATCATATCTGATAATATACCAAAGCATCTGATGATGAGGCACGTAGTGCCAAATTGTTAACATATCTGTTAATACCCCAAAGCATAATTTTATATATTATATATCTTTCTGTAATAATTATACCTTGGGGTATCACTTTTTTTCAATACCTATTTATATGTAATCCCAAAGCATAATTTTATATATCTTTCTATAATAATTATACCTTGGGATATCATCTTTTTTCAATATTTAGCTGGCTTATACTGATACCTAAATTGTACTTTTTATATATTTTAAAATATCACTATATCGAAAACTTTGGGATATCACTATATCGAAACTTTGAGATATCACTATATCGAAAACTTTGAGATATTATTATCAAACATATATCAAAAAACGTGAACACTATTTATAATCAGAAAATGAAACCTGGGATATCGCTAATTCGAAAACTTTGGAGTATCACTTTTTTCGATACCTTGAAGTATCATTTTTATTAATACCTAAAATAGGCAACACAAAAATGGTTATCGACTCCTGGTACGTATATTATATGTGCGTAACAATTTGCCACGCCGATTACTTTTATTTCGGAATTTTATGATCTAGATATCAAAGTATTAATTTTTGATTTGAATTTTTTCTCATACTTATTGTAAGAGGTGACAAAAATCCCCTAC